CCATAGAACCCAGGCTGACATTCTGAAATGATGACCTTTTTATATAATATATGTAGTAAATCATTTAACAGTGAACACAATCATTATCCTGATATCCCACCTCATTCACCCCGTCGCATTTAGCAGTCAATCACATACTGGGTTATTTCATATTGTGATTCCACTGTCTGATACAATCGCATTTCAGCCACAACACAGTACGATCAAAAACATGATACACTCGCCTTTCACGATACATGTACAACCGCCTTTCACCACATTGATCAGTTATTTATATTTTATGCAATCACTCCCATTTTTTACCACACTGACAAGTCAGTTGATAACTGTTTATATTTTATAATGTTATCATGAGTACAATCACCACCTTGATATCCTGCATTACATTCTTCAATATTACATTTACCATCTACATGAAGACGGCAATCGACAGAACAGCCATTTCCGTACATGTATTTCGTCAAAATCGGATAACAAATGTGACCTGTAGAGGGATCACAAACAAATGTGAACGAACGGGCATTGGGACCTACGTAATAATTATACGTCCACATAAAAATGTGGGTGTATAATAATATCAGTTCTGACCGTATCAATGTTCATTAAGCGTAGCCGTACTTTCTTCGTTATTATATTCTGCAGAAATCTAGCTTTTATGTTAACGCAAATAAATGAACAGAAATTATCAATTTCAGCAGGTTCGATGGTCAATTTTATCAGAAATGAAATGAAATTATCAATCTTATACAAAACGTACAGAACGTATCAGTTGTAAAGATATGAAAAGAATATATCAATTTTAAAGAGATGAAAAGTATTATTGGCAGGGATGACTTGCAATATGTTGGATTACAACTTACTTTGTGTACAATAGTCACCCATCCACCCTGGATGACACCCTGCTTTACATTCTCCATTATTTATGTGACATGCTGATGGTGCCCGACAATTTCTATCTGTACATTCTACAATAAAACATTTCAGGTGCTATTTCAAATCTTAAGCCTGTTTATTACTGTGCCCTTATCATTTATGTGATTTTTTCTAAATTTAAGTTTTCTCCTTTTTCTACTTTTTTGGTGCTAAATCATGTCATATTTTTTTTTATCAAACATAATTCGTATTAAAAACATTCCTTTTGATGCGATATCTGGCAAACAAACGGATTTAAGCAGCATTTTAAAATTTTGAAATATGTGTTATCGTTGAATGAAATATATTTCGATGGAACTGGGTTGCTAATTTGTAAAAAAAAACCAAAAAATTCAAGTATTCCCAAGTAGTCTAATACACATAGTGCAAGTCGTTATCGACATGGATGGGGGAATATACTGATGGCTTGCAGTCTGTCTCTTCTTGTGATAGACAGTGTATTTAGACCAGCTATTTAACAATATTCACTTTCCGTTTTTTCGTCAATTTGAACTATAAATCTTACTTATATTACAACTGGTTCCAGTAAATCCATCAGCACATCTGTAAGGGCATTGACCTGTGACTGGATCACATCTATCACCAGATGATTGACAGTAACACAATGATGTACAATCTGGTCCAAAGGTACCAACCGAACAAACTGTATATAATTATCAAATCAAGTGGTAAATATTTCTAAGGAATTTAACAGCCACGACAGAATGTTTTTGGCTTAAAATCATTGAATAATGAGCGAAATGTTCGATTATATTTCATTCCTTATAGAGTTTGTGCATTTCATGAAAGTATGTATGTCCCACAAATAAAGTTCAAATAAAGTAGTAGAAATTTCTAAGGAATTTAACAGTCTCGGGGGTGAATGTTGTGCACTATAACATATGCATGGCCGTATAAAAAGTTAATATTGCTGACCCATTAACTGCATTACGGATAGAAGCGTAGAAGCGACTGGGAAAATATTTACTGTGGATCAGTTTGGTGAATACAGTGCGGCTCCACTTGGTCAGAAATTCTATCTTAGTCGGGTTGACTCCAATAGACATAATTACTTTATATACAGAGCTATACTTAAAGCTATAAAGGGGTGAAATTTGCGTTGGTTTCTCTAATAACTCTACTTCTTCGAACAGGTTTGTCCGGAAATGTATGCCCTTCGCTAACTTAGCCCAAAGTCACTAGAGCACTTTATTTTAAGTTTCTCTTACCATAAACTTCAACTTCACAGAGATTCACATAAACGGAATTTGTAGGTTCGTTAGTCTTGTCATTAGTAATAGTTATATATTTTCCTGTAGTGTTACAGTTTACCACAAATCCATTAGGCTTATTCTTTGAATCATAATTATCTTCTGGTCTACACGGACTTTGATTTGTTTGGTTACGTTCATCTACGAATAATCTGAATCCCTTAAATCTATTAGTGATATCTATATAAAATAAATAAACAAGAATAATTTACAAAAATAAAAATGAGGATGTCTGTGTTTGTTTTTGGGCGGGCGACGTGTGGCGGGTAGTCATATATATAATGATTGTTTTTACGCATATACAAAAACAATACGCCCTTGTGTCCATCAGCGACTAAACAAGCTTGTATAATAATACTCTAAATTGATCTATATTTCGAAATAATAAATATGATGTCAAATTCGATAACACAGATCTTCTTGTTTGCAGATTTATCGAAGTTTACATCAAAAATATTCTATTTGATTTGTATGAAATTCGTAACAAGCAAAGGTCAAATCAAAATATACATCTCCTTCTCGTTGGGCACCTTTATATGATGTAAGCTTTCAATACTGTTAATTTCATAAAATTCAGCCAATATATACTTCCCGTTTTGTTGAAAACAAAATGGCCGTAAAATCAATCGTCCTAATACTTATATATTGATGGTAAACAACCGAAATAGTACGGCGGTATATGTAAGAACATTAGAAACGTCCAAAAGAAAAACTGATAATAAAAACACTTAGTGCTTCTGTTTATAAAATATTACAGTGTACAGAAGTGGTATAGCAACCATATTAGAAAACACAATGCTATAATCCAAATTGCAAAATAAATTGATTTTTTATATTTCATATTACGGCAACATGCCACTGACATGGACTGATAACTACTAATTGTTTAAGGAAAAAAACATATATCAGCAAATATGTTTGTGAGTATACCACGGACGTGATAGTCTAATCGCGGTAAGCTGGATCCGTCCCTTAAAATATCTAATATTACAAAACACAATATAAATAATGTTATGTAATATAAACTATATGATATAAAATCATGTGGGTGACTTTAAATTTTACTTACGTAGATCCCTTGCATATATTTTTATATTAGCAACAGGATAACTTTGTCCTAAATCTACTCCCCATGAAGCATTTGTCCTCCCATCAGCCGTATGGGTACAAGTATTATATGCCTTGCTATGATTAGTATCACCATCTACTGCATAATGAGAATATCTTCGTCCATTCCCGTCCGAATAGGTTGAGCTCTGCCACGTATTTTTGTTAAATGCAACATTTTCTGAAAATTGAATTGGAATAAGTTTGTAGATGGCAAATTACCTGGCAAATCGAATTATTTCACACAAATCAAAATAATGAATCTAGTCTTTAGGAGTGCTGCCTCGGCTAGCGATATGTCACATATATTTATTATTTCATTTCTTAATGGCATACAAGGATGGCAAATTTATAACACGAAAATATATTCTCAACATATCAGACTTTTATTTTCTTAATCTCATATTTAAAGGGACAATAACACTCTTGCTGGCTTGAAAGCTCCAGAAAATAAATAATATCTCTATCTAAGTACTAGATGTTTAAGTGTCTTACCTGTTGTGTATATTATCCATTACATCCTATTTCGCTTGTCCAGAGGGTTCGAAAATATTTTTAAATCGAAGTTTCATTTGAAAAGGTTTACGTTAGACGTTTCAAACCATTATGTTGAACTTTTCTTAATTTTTAAATAAGGTGTGTTAAGATGAAATTTGTATCATCAATTAATTGAAATATTCTAAAATAGTACAATTTGTTGACCAGAATAAAGATTGGGACATATTATTCAGTTACAACAAGAGTGGTATTGAGCCTTTAAATGAGTTTTATAATATTTTGATGATATATAGTCCATTCTTCATTTGGTCACCCTTCGCATCGATACATACAAAAGTGCAATCTGGCGCCGAACACAACTAAACCGAAGAAGCTCGAAATAGAACAAAGCAATGGGATTATACGATTTTAATTTTCCCATCGTAAACTTTCCACTCCTGAGCAGTAACATATCTAAATAGCTAGACTATGTGCCTAAATGTCTCACCCAGACATTATGCTTAGGTTTGCATATACTGTGTAGATAGATTCTTTTCAGAGACAAAGTGATCTAACTTATAACAGTTTTACTAAGTTATATCTCAACCCGAATATTAATAACCTTAGGGGATCGATAGTACTATGTTACATCTAACCGAAAATATTGCTAACCCTTTAGTATCCATGGTACTATCCAGAATATCGATGTTGTCCTTAATATTATTTACCCTTTGGACTAACTCGCAGTATTGACAACCCTTTGGTACAATGGTATATCTAATCAAGAATGTCAATAACCGTTTGATATCGATGGTACTATTTTATCAAAATATCAGTAACCGTTTAGTATCGATCGCTCTAGATATTGTCTTTCATGTTGACAACTCTTTGGTCTATTATTACCCCTTTACGATGGTGGCTCTACATGTATATGGTCCAGAATATTGATAACCTTTTAGAATCGATGGTACTGTGGTATATCTAACCCAGACGAAATTATTTTTAGGATTGCTTGTACATGTATTACATTACCCACTGTTTCCAGTGTCTTTATAGTTAGTTGAAAGTAAATTGTTTTTTCAACATATTATTTTTTTGTCAATCTAGACTGAAAACGGGTTCAAATAGCAACCATACCCGATATACTCGTTCATCGTACATTAACAGGATATCCAGCTGGAAAGAAACACAGATTACGGTAGCTTCCTACCTTTAGCGTTAGATAATTCCTACCTTTTTGACATGACGAACCATACCATCCTTTCTCACATTTACGACTAGAACAGACACCTGTATTAGTATCACAATATCCTTCATCACAATGACATATATATCTATCATTATATCCAAATCTTGGTTGTTCTGATTAAAAAAATGAACAGATGACTAATTATTTAATATATTTCAATACATACATAAACTCTTAATGATAACTGTTATAATATTTCATTTCGACGGCACCTCGTCGATTAATATCGTAAAAGAAAATAAAGACCGAAATGCTGTTAGATACACAAGGTCTTTTTCCATGTCCACCTTAGTCATAGCTCAATACACGGAACTTATGGATTAGATAGCAATGTCTATAACAGACGTTTATCAACGTACGTTATTACTAAATTTACGTTACACGATTTTATTCGAAAATAAAGAAGTATTCATTTCCATTTAAATCAAGTCTTGAAATCGTATACATTTCTCTATACAAGCTCCACGCGGATCTAGCATTAATTGATTCCTCGATCAGTTGAACTGCTCGAGCTCATCCGTCGGTTCAGTGGCCGAGAGAAATAATTTTAAAAGCCTACATCTAATATTTCAACTTTCTTTTTTATCCGAAACACGTATTTCAGCCCCGGAAATTTGTGAAATCTTTTTGAAAAAATAAAAATAATTCATGTTTTTTTCTTCACAAAAATGGATAAATATTATCGAATAAATAACAAATAACGCTGGTTAAAACAGACACGGTTACATAATTTATATCGGAGATTTGAGACAAAGTATGAATAGCGAAATTCCGAGACCGCCATGATTTTATTAAGAGGTCACCCCCGTTAAGCGGTCAGTCACGAAAATGTTCTTGAGGGGCTGCTTAACTCTTTCACTGCCAAGGTTGTACGTGTATACTGTAATCATAAACTGATGTATATATTGATAACAACGAAAGCTTCCAGCCTATCACTTCTTGTGATAGACAATGTATTTAGATCAGGGGCCTGTTTCACGAAATTTTAACTAAGATAAAATCCCAATTTTAGTAATTTGATTGGATAATATTAGATTGATTTTAGTGCTTAGCCCATCAAAATTGAAGTATCTACTAAATATGGATTTTATCTTTAAAAAAGAAATTCGTGAAACAGGGCCCAGCTCTTTAAATTTCGTGAAACAGGGCCCACCTCTTTAAAACAATATTCACTTTCCGTTTTTTTCGGCAGTTAGAACTACAAATTGAACTATAAATCTTACTTATATTACAACTGGTTCCAGTAAATTCAACAGCACATCCGTAAGGACATTGACCTGTGACTGGGTGACATCTATCACCAGGTGATTGACAGTAACACAATGATGCACAATCTGGTCCAAAGGTACCAACTGAACAAACTGTATAAATAATATAAAATTCAAATCAAGTGGTAAATATTTCTATTTATTTCATTCCTTATAGAGTTTGTGTATTTCATGAAAGTATGTGTGTCCATTTCATGAAAGTATGTGTGTCCCACACATAAAGTTCAAATAAAGTGGTAGAAATTTCTAAGGAATTTAACAGTCTCGGGGGTGAATGTTGTGCACTATTATAATAACATATGCATGGCCGTATAAAAAGTTAAAATTGCTGACCCATTAACTTCATTCCAGATAGTAGCGGAGGGAAAACATTTACTGTGGATCAGTTTGGTGAATACAGTGCGGCTCCACTTGATCGGAAATTTTATTTTAATCGGGTTGACTCCAATAGACATAATTACTTTATATACAGAGCTATACTTAAAGCTATAAAGGGACAAAGATTGGTTTAGTTTCTCTAATAACCCTACTTTTTCAAACAGGTTTGACCGGAAATGTATGCCCTTCGCAAACTTGGCCCAAAGTCCTACCTATGCCACATCTGACGCTAATGTACTCTATTTTATGATTCTCTTACCATAAACATTTCTTTTGATGTGTTATAAAGAAAATGAAGCTAAGTTGCGGTTCTGTTTTCTACTGCACACGTTCAAAATGTCGAGAAATTGTAAAAAAAAAAAACACAAAAAAAAACCCCAACAAGAAGTAAGATCTGGCAAATAAACGAAATTGAGCAGCGTTTTAATATTTTGAAACATGTGTTTTCATTGATAAAATATATTTCGAATGGAACTGGGTTGCTAATTTGTATAAAACCCCCTGAACAATTCAAGTATTCTCAAGTAGTCTAATACATATACATGTACATGTATACATAGTGCGAGTCGTTATCGACATGGAGACGACTTTGTTGCTGATGGGGGAATATACTGATGGCTTGCAGCCTTTCTCTTCTTGTGATAGACAATGTATTTAGACCAGCTCTTTAACAATATTCACTTTCCGTTCTTTCGTCAAATTGAACTATAAATCTTACTTATATTACAACTTTTTCCAGTAAATCAATCAGCACATCCATTAGGACATGGACCTGTGACTGGATCACTTGTGTTAAATTCAACACAAATGTTATCTTAAAATTCGGCGTAATAAATAATATAGAAAGAAAACACACAAGATTTTATAAATGCACACAAGGTTTCTGTTAAGACACTAAAAAGAACACAAACTTGTGTTGACTTCATTTAACACAAGTCCTTGTGTTGAGATCCAACACAAGAGTTTTTTCAGTGCAGTAATACAAACCGTTCCGGGCAGAATTATCATCACATTTTACGCCTTAATATAATTTTATGGATCTATTTACCCAACTTCGAACTCTATTATTTATCTTTTAATAATTTTAAAATGTTTTTTAGAATCCGAATGACATAATAACAAGTTACTATTTACGCCCCATTAACTTCATCCCTGATAGTAGTGGCTGGGGTTTGTTCCGGATCTTATTTCCACGAACAGGTTTGTCCGGAATATATTCCCTTCGCAACCTCGGCCTAAAGTCCCACCTCTGCCACTGTTGACGTTAGTATACTTTATTTAAATTTCTCTTACCATAAACTTCAACTTCACAGAGATTCACAAAAACGCTTGTTTGTAGTGTATACTTGTCATTGGTAATAGTTATATATCTTCCTGCACTGTTACAGTATACCATAAATCCATTAGGCTTATTCCTTGAATCATAATTATCTTCTGGTCTACACGGATGTTGATTTGTTTGCTTATGTTCATCTACGAATAATTTGAATCCTTTAAATCTATAACCGATGTCTATATAAAATAAATAAACAAGAATAATTTACAAAAATAAAAATGAGGATGTCTGTGTTTATTTTTGGGCGGACGACGTGTGGCGGGTAGTCATATGATTATTTAAAATAAATAAATCAGAATCATAAGACTGCACAGACAAGCGAGGGTTGGACACCGACACAAATACACCTTTATTGACAGAAAAACTGCTTTCGGCAATATGTGTGTATGGATGTCTGAGTGTGTTTGTTTTGTCATGATGTGTGATGGGTAGTCAAATGGTGATAGTTTTTAAATATACTAAGTTAATTGGCCCTCGTTTCCATCGGAGACTAAATAAGCCTGTAAGATAAAACTCTAAATTGAGCTACATTTCGAAATAATAAATATTATTAAAACACCATTTTTGTGTTTTGTCAAATTCAATAACACAGACCTTCTGGTTTGCAGATTTTCCAAGTTTGCTTGAGAAATATTTTTTGTTAGATTGTGTTTGGAATTCTAAACAAGCTAAGGCCTAACAAGAATAACACTCCTTTTTGTAGACACCTCCTTATTACGTAAGCTCGCATCTCTGTTAATTAATTCTGTCCTTGTTGTTGAAAACAAAATGTCCGTAAAATCAATCGCGCTAATTCTTAGATATTGATGGTAAAACTATGTACAGCGATATACATAAGAACTTAAACCAGAATCTTTCAATAGAAAAACTGATAATAAAATCATCCTGTGCTCAATTTAAGTTATGTACAGTGTTTAGACGTGGTATATAAACCACATTGTAAAACACAATACTATAATCCAAATTGCAAAAGAAATCGATTTCTATATTTCGTATTACTACATGTACTAATAACTACTGAATGATTAGGGGAAAAACACATCTCAGCAAACGTGATTATCGCGGACGTGATAACCTAGTAGCTGGATCCACCACTTATAATATATAATATTACAAAACACTATATAATCGATAACGTTCAATCTTCAAATATTGTATAATTTGTTTATTGGTATTATAAGGGTAAAGTTGAAGAGTAAAGACACCATATAAATATGTGTATTAATATTAATAGTCTGTATTCAAAAATTATATACAGGTATATTTCTGTTTTAACAATGATGAATTTAAATTCTACTTACGGTAATCCCTTGCATATATCTTTATGTTATTAACAGGATAACTTTGTCCTAAATCTACTCCCCATGAAGCATTTGTTTGGCCACCAGCCGTATGGGTACATTTATTATATTCCTGGGCATGACGAGTATCACCATCTACTGCATAATGAGAATATCTTCGTCCATTCTCGTCCCAATAGGTTGAGCTCTGCCACGTATTTTTGTTAAATGCAACATTTTCTGAAAATTGAATTGGAATAAGTTTGTAGATGGCAATCAAAGTGGCATGAATTAAATGTGAATACCAAAAAATACTAAAGACTTACTGGAACCCCTAGGGGTTCAGCCACTTTCGTTTATTTCATCTATAAAGATGTTTAGTTTCTCACTGCTTTACATTTTTATTCCACATAATAAATTAAAATGAAAATCCAAATATTTGACCACCCTACTCATTGATACATACAGAAAAGTAATCTGGCGCTTAATACAAATAAACCGAAGAAGATTTATTAAAAATGCTAGGATTAGCAACTGGGAATAGACCAAGACCATAAACTTAGTGTTCGATTATACGATTTTAATTTTCCCATAACCTTCCATTCATGTACAGTAACATACCTACATCGCCAGGCTATATGCCTAAATTTTCTCACCCAGACGTTTTGCTTCGGTTTGCATATTGTAACGTTCATAGAATTGGCACCTTCCAATGTGAAATCCAAACAATTTTACACTGATGTAGCATTTTGTGTTTATGAACTTCTGAAGTTTGATTGTCCTTTAGGATAAATAGTACTATGTTATATCTAACCCCAAATATAGTTAACCCTGTAGTATCGATGGTACTGTGTTATCTAGAATATTGATAACCCTTTAGTATCGACGTATACTGTGTCATATAGAATATAGTTAACCCTTTAGTATCGATGGTACTGTGTTATCTAAAATATTGATAACCCTATTGATGGTATTATGTTATCCAGAATATTGATAACCCTTTAGCATAATATCGATGGCTCTACCTGTTGTCCTTGATAATACTAACCCTTTGCCCCCCCCCCCCACAATATTGATGGTACTATGGTATATCTGACCAAGAATATTGATAGCCGTTTAGTATCGATTATAATGATAACCCTTTGGTCTAACCCAGAATATAGATAACTCTTTAGTATTGTCTGGGTTCGATGGTATATATATATATAACCCACTATTCCAGTGCCTTTATAGTTAGTTGATAGTAAATATTTTACACAAATATTATTTTTATCACTCTAGACTAAAACTGGGTTCATAGCAACCAGACCCCGTATACTCGTTCTTAGTGCATTAACAGGATACCCAGCTGGAAAAAAAACACAGAAAATGTTTCATTAAATGCTTCCTACCTTTAAAGTTAGATAATATTTCCTACCTTTTTGACAAGAAGAACCGTGCCATCCTTTCTGACATCTACCACTAGAGCAGTAACCTGTATCATATTTACAATCTCCTCCAATACAATGACATATATATCTATTATTATATCCAAATCTTAGTTGTCCTGATACAAAAAATCCAAACAGATTACTAATTATTAAATACATGTATATTTCAATACATACATAACGTTGAAAATTTTTGAAAGATACATGGTTTCTAGCGTCATTTTGACGTTCATCTTGGGAAACTGGAGGGCACTTTCCTAAGACACAGAAACTGAGATTTAATACAACATATGACATATCAAATACATGTACTATGTTTTAGTTTTATTGATGTAATAATAATCAGATGTGTACGATTTTGACAGAATATTTTAAGCAAGCAAATACATGGAAAAACAAAAATCATGACTATAAGTTTATTTTTTTCAATAGCCAAATCACGTTGAACTGGATGCCAACGGGACTTTTTGTGCACACTTGGAAGCTCACCGTCATTGTAGCGTTATACAGGCCCGGACTAGGCCTTGATTACCTGTTGGGCCCCATGGCGCGAAGGCCCGGCCAGGTGGCTTATAGTTCTGAGCTCACACAATCCGATTCTAATCCTACCCACGTCCCTAGGTACCCACATTGAGACCAGTCACCGGTTTTCCTCTACTTTACGATCAAGTAAAAGTATATTTTGTTCAAAAGATTATATAAACAATTTTTTCAAAAACATTACTCCGCCAGGTACCTCTAGACTCTGGGAACCTGAACAAGTGTGTGTAACATTTTCGTGCACGTAAAAGAACTCTTGGAAGTTGTAATTAAATATAAGAGTAGACCATAGCGCCGTTGTCCGGGCAAAGTTTCCGTCATATCACACTGTATGGCGTATACCCATCTTCATTAGCCCAGTCCGAACAGAACCCCATTTTATTTCATTTCATTTTCACTACTCTGTAATTTTGTATCGTTTGCAGACTTTGATGGTGCTGTATTTTATATTTTCTGACATTTAGTATACCACTGATATTTATAATATTACTTTATATACCGTAACATAAACTTTATAGTTTAAATAATATCACACTTCTTTGTATTTATGAAATTTGAAAGCTTATTGATATAGATGGCACTACATGTATAATTTATATATTCTTACATTTTATATATTGATAATTAAATAAAGTCTGAAAAAGCTTACCATTTATATACTTAATATATACCACAAAGATGATGGTCATATAAAATAACCACTGTCGTATATCGGCCATGTTCCTCTCTACTAGTGTCTACTAGGAAGAATTTTTTGCAACTGCTCATTTTAAAACCTGAAACATGTCATGTAATATCTTCCTGGTCTGAATATGCATTAACGATGTTAAAGTAGCCATAAGTCTCTAACTCAATATCATCCAAAGTCTTCGACATTGAAAACACGAATTATTTGTCAATTTAAATCAACATTGATGTTGTGATCTTACTGGGAAAGGATGGGCTTCTGATATCCTATATTTACGACAAAATAAACATTTTACCATCGGTACACGAATCGTGTACCATAATGTGATTCAGCGCCATTTGTAACAAGGGACTCGAAGAACGCGGCTAGACAAGTTCCACAAGCCATGTCAAATGGTGATGTCATATACTTATCTGGAGAGCATGCACAATAATTACTATCGGTGTAGACTGAAATAACCAGGCGCTAAAGATTGCCATTCAATTCAGACTTCTTGCGTATTTTGCCGAACGTAACTGACTTGAAATTAGAGTAAAAACCGAAACGATTGAATGTAAATCAGTTTATATACATTCATATTAAATTATTATGCGTTGCAACCCAATGTGTCAATTTCTAGGTCCCAAATATTAGCGATTTAGCTCCTTTAAGTATATATCAAAAACAAGCTGTATTGAGGAAAATGAATCACATTTATTATTTGAAAACGTATTCTACACTTCAATATTACTCTTAAACCTAACCCTTTTTAGACGGCTGAACTTGGATCCAATTTACCCTTTACCACTCTTAAACGGATTAGGGCTATGGTTAGTATTCCCAAAAATACTCATTTATAAAAAGCAGCTATTGTAAACTCTCGGACCTCCCCCAACCGGCCTACATTTGGGATTCCTCGGTGACAATCGAGTGAAAACGGAAAATTTGGGACTCTAACGCATGCGCCGTCTGAAAAAGAAAATACCTTAACTCCAAGCATGACAGCTGAAATATATTTGTTTTGTTTACTTACGTCACGATTCTACTCATAGCACATCCATTTTCTCCATTACAATTCTGTGCACTTCGCGCTTGTTTTTTATGTTTTTTTGTTTTTTTTCTTTTTTCAGCAAATAACAGCGTTTTAATTACTTTATATTATTGTAAACGATAATGAATAGTCTTATTTATCAGGTCGTTTTATTTGAACCTTGTGATAAATGAGGGCTGCTCTATTAAAGTTGCGTTGAGTCTATGTAAGCCAGAATAATGTGTTATCATTTAATCGCATGTTATCATATTAATCACTTATAGAGACAATCATAATCATCTATGAACCTTGTAGAGACACATACATTGTTTTATGTATAAACATAATATTATTTCTTTATTGTAGAATGTAATCAGTCTATAAACTAGATAATTACAATATTGGTTATTTTTTTTAAATCAAACAACCATTTTGACATAAAGGAACAACAAACTGTTATATGTAACTAGGACAATAGAACGTGGTTCTACCCTGCCTTGTGGATAATATTTATGATTGTATCCTTCATTTATCGATCCTTCTGTTTTGATTTTTTCTCCAGAAATAAACCAGAATTTTGGTGTGTACATAATGACCTCCATATTGTTGGCACTTATTTTATCCATCCTACTTGTAGCTGTTCTTTTTGGAGTAGTAATATATTATTACAGGTTAATTTGTATTTATTTATGTTTCAAATCAAAACCAGAAAAATGTATTTATTATTTGTAAACCCATAGAATTCATCTCGGTCCAACTCTTCACATTTGTGATATTTATATAAGCAGATGACCAATTCAGTGGTATTACCGAATTGGATAACCCTTCCGAGTTTTCACAAGTTATTTACTGCGCCTACTTTGAAATCAGACCTTGGCAAATCCTACCCTTAAGCTAGTTCTTATAGACTTAGTCAGTCATTTTCTTTGAAAAGTAACAGACTATTGCCTTATTGGAAACAAAATGTTAGGTTAAATGTCTGCTAAAAAATGTATTACGCCTGTAAGTTTTTTATATACATTAGCCAAGGCTTACCTTAAAGTAGACGGGCGCACGGGTCAATATTTTTTATAAAATCTTTAAATATTAAGTATATTGTTAACTCGTCAATACTTTTATTATGGATTTGGCAGTGGTTTCTGCAATGTACACGTTGCTTGCACAAAGACTGTAGTCCCACAGGAGTCCGATTTTAATGCAGTGACACGGGATCATATTGTATATTGACACAAACGATTGTTAGAAATAGTAAATTCCCTGACCATGGGGGATATTAAAAGTGTTTTACTGGGTAAACCCACCCACTCTTTGATATATTGATAACACCAGTATAACTTCCAAATTGAGTTTAAATGTATGTTTAATATCAAATTTTTTCATAAAAATGTCATCTTGTGATTGATTTTGTATACTACGAGGCCGATGCGGATGGATTTTAAAACCAGATCGTTCTTATAATAATTCGGCCCTCGACCGCTGTTGTTAACCGGAAATTGATACTTGTAGATACAGTAATTAGATAATAAACTAACATAGAGTAATACAATATTGATGTAGCGAATGTTATCAAAGTAAAAGTAGGACTTAAAATTAGTCATTTACAATATAATATACAATTAAAGACATATAACCTCTCCGTCAAAGGGATAAGCAATCATAATGGAATGTGTTCGTTCCTCAATTAAACAAGAAATGCATTCTGGCGGTCTATTCGATCGCAATTTTTATAACAAAAAAAAGTGAATATGTATTTGATGTAATTTTCATCTTACAGGAAAAGAAGGAATGGAAACACGGAAGGAAGACCACGAGAAACTAGTGATTATAGTGAACCCTATTGTACACCAGAAAATGGTAATATTTAAATATATGTATAGGTGACCCTACTCCTTGTCACGTACAAACGGGGAATCGAAACCACGCAACCTGACACAATAACAGAGCTTTTGATGCAATGCGCACACGTTAACCATTTGGCCACCCAACCCCACTTAATTCAGTAGAAGGTATATATATATATATATGAACCAAAGAGAACACACAATATACATGTTGATCCTCAGATATATATATATTACACAATTATTTTATCCAGATTTACTATTGTCAGCTTTGAACCTTTGACCAATTTATCTAGTGTCTAGCTTATGTTTGTTTTAAATATAATTACAGTTTCTGGACCAGTCTTTGAAAACAGCGAAGCTACTGAAGTAGAAATGGCACATCTTGTAGCACCATGAGTCTTTCTGTCTGACGTGGAGAGCGTCTCTGGGAAACCGGTCGCCACATCCTACGTAGAACCCATGCATCTTTTCTTACTACATATTTCTGTAGCCTTGTGATCGTCTAGAATTTGTCTCTAGCTGTCTTTACTTCTGTTTCACGTTGTGTATTTACTTCTGACAGTTTCTTAAGACGTCTGTCTTACCAGGAATAACAATGCGACAGTTTGCTTCTACATATTTTATATATATATATATATATATAGCTGAATACAGGTATACAAGCATAGCACAAATTACAATACTATATAGCTAAAACCACTTCTCCACCCTATCCAGCCTCTCGGCTGTCTAGGAACTCAGATGTACCCTCGATCTCTGGAATCTAATGCAAGTCTGACTTACAGGGTTCCCCCGGTTTCTTTTAAAGGTATATAAATATCATGCACCATAAAACGTGATCATGGCCCTGAACTTGTGTAATTAACAAAATGATTGGTTACTTTAAGCTAAATGATGCAATTAGAATAATTCCACTCACGTGTAATTCGGTGGTAAATGAGTGACATATGTTTTCGATAAATCGCTCTTTTTTATGTGTCAACTGTCAATTACAGACTAAGTTGATTTAAGTATTTTAAGTACATATCACATATTATGCGAATATGTTATTTCTCGAGCAAAAATTCTACTAAAAGTATTACATTCGTCCTTTACTTTAAGACTTTTTGCTAGGTATTGGGTAAAAGATCCCTTAAATCCTTTACAATAACCATACCAACATCTGTAGAATTATATAACTATTCATAAATGTAGCAGAAATCTAGAAAATCAACATATATAATTATCACCTCCCCGCCTTCTAAGATTTATGCTAAATGAACAGGTAGGAGACTCTTAAAACGTCTATGTGCTAAACCCTATAATTATTCATGCAACAGGCAAATATCAATGATACTATACTATATAACAAAACTGTGAAAACACAAACACACATAATCAAAAAATAAAAAGTTGCATGCAAAAGTTCTCCAAAAAGTTCATCACTGTAAAATCCTATGAAAATCCACTAAGCCTAAACACAGAAAACACAAATTGTCTTTTTTAAATCTTCAAGTGTCCTTATTTCAAAACACTATAACACATCACATAATATTTATAATGTTCAGGTTTCACTTTAAATTCTGTCTCAGGAAATGTCAATTTGGTAAACTGGTAAACCATTTCTTCTTCTTGGATTTGTATTGGTCTGTTCCAGCTACCATAGTATCAAGTTGAAACTTTCTTTTTTTCTTTTAAGTATGATTGGTTTGTACAATTTTATCCGTCAATCAAACATGTCATTGCCATCAGACCAAGAACTAACTATTACTATTTTTTAAAAAACTTTATTTTGATATTAATCTAACATTATTATTTCGAAAAAGTATTTGTAAATCTTGCTCTTAATTAAAATTAAATTTTATTTAATTATTAATAAACTTTGATGTGTCCCTTTAATTATAAAACTTCAAACTAACTTTGACCTCATGACCTGAACTCGATCAGTAATTTTATAATTGCGTTTTCTGTTTTAGAATTTCCGTTTGTGTTTTAGAATTCCGCCAAAACAATTTCATTAGTATTTTATATTTCTCAGTCAGTAATTTGACCTTTTTGACCTAATCATTTACAATTTTGTATTTCGTTTTGTATAAACACTAACCACTATTACCTAAACATTTCCTAACAGACTGACACTGACACAAGCTGAGCTCACATCTATGACAATACCAGACTTTAATTTATCTAGAATAGGACTGTCAATC